ATCGAGTGACAGCACAAGACGGGTCGTCATGCAATAAGTTACAAAACAAGCATCGAGTGAATAACTCCCCGTTTAATCCAATAATCCAATAATCCAATTTGTCATTTATATTGTAAACAAAATACCTAGATTCATTTAGTACACTAATAAATTTCAAAAATTATCGATTTATTTTTAGCAAAAAAGTGAAAAATGAAAAATGAAATGTTGTCCATGATTTAATAGATGTTTTAATGAATTTTACGTTTTAAGCAGAATCATGGGATTTTTACATTGAGAAAGATTTTTTTGCTAAAAAAAAAACAAAAGAAAAATCACCGACCTAAAAAAGGCCATGGAAAGCTAGATGGAAAGCTATCCGGCAACAAAAAAAATCCAAAAGTTTAATTCAAAATAGGTTTGTTATCTTTTTTTTTGGAACTACTGCATCCACTTTTGGACGGTCCCCGTTACGAATAAGTAAAATATGAGATGGAAAGCTATTTTGATACGATTTTTGATTTAAAAAAATATCAAAATAAAACGACTCCAGTGCTTATTTTCGCAATAAATTATTTAACGCAAAAAGGGGCTGACCTTGATTTTGAATCGTCATAAAATTGAATAGTCTACGGTTTGTTTAGTTAATTCATTTTTCAAATGGTTACCGTTAAGCACACCCATAATTTGAAAAAAGGTTGCGTCTACCTATTGTAGTAATTGAGCGAGTATATTCAGTTGATGCTTTGAGTTCGTTGAACATGGCGAGACGAAATTTTGGGTTCACTTTTGTTTTAGATTTTTGAAACAGATGCGCGCCGTTCCCAATATCCCTATTAATTTATTAACTAAGGATTGCAGTGGACATTGCATTTTGAATGGTATATAAATCACAACGCGAGTAAACATTTCTTCAGTTGAGCCCTTACACTCTTTTGTCGATTGTCATTGGGAAAAACTTAGAAACGTTTTCGGTCGTCAAATTCTGAACTTATAAAAAAACGACATGAATAAAGGCATGGGCGAAACTAGCAATAGTCGATTGCAAAGTGAATTGAAATTTAAAGTGCTCAAGCATAATCAAACGTTGATGGCATGGCTTGGCATTCATTCATACCGTTTAACCGAACCGTCCAATGAATTTTACAAATCATTTGGAACCTATTATATTTTGATCAGCATCGTATCGGTGTTTTTGATTTCTTCCACCTATACTGCACTATTTTCCACCGATTTTCAAACGGTGATACAAGCTTGGCTTTTGGTTGTGGCTGGCATTCAAAGTGGTGGCATGTTTATAAGCATCGGACTCGAGATGAAGACAATTAAGCGCTTACAAATTAAGTTGCAGGAGATTGTTGATAAAGGTGAATAATAATTTATTCTGTAAAAAAATGTGTTTCCTTTACAAAATTGTTGTTCACGCAGGCACAGGCCAAATATACGACATTTACTGGAAAAATGAGCAAATATGCCGAAAATATACGAAAATCATTGCATACTATGTGTTTATGAATCAAGCAGCTTATTTGATGGTCTTAATTGCTCCGATTTACAGCATTATCCATGGAATTTTCGACCCATCCAAATGGAAACTAATGTACAATCTTATCATTCCGTTTGATGAGACAGAACTCTTCGGATGGTTTGTGCATTACTTTGCACAATTCAATGTCGGACTTACGTATTCGCTCATTTTGGTCTCCATAACATCGTACTTTGTGTGCGGTTGCTTTTATGTGAATTCAATCTGCAATCATTTTGACCATTTAATCAATTCGATCAAAGACACCATTGAACCAACGGAAGTCGATGAAACGAATGAAATCAAAGCAAGAGTTCGCACCGATTGGCGAAGAGTCAAAGAACAATTGAGCGAGGCAATCAATCTTCATGTCGAAATTTTTGAGTGAGTTTTTTTTTACCTTGTTTGTATATTGATATTCTTGGCGTCATGGCTGCATTTTTTTAGCGTTTTTGATATGCTGGTGGACATAAATAGCGCGGTCATCTTTTGGCTTTTACCACTTGATGGTTTATTTATGGCTATTTCGATGTACAATCTCGAACATGTGAGTGGAAAATGTAATTTCTTCACACAAAAAATTCAATTCTCGAATTTAATATGTCAATTTCTGCAGTCAGCATCAAATTTGGCCGATTGGGGTCTATTGGGATACGGCATTATTTGTATAATTTGCGCTTCGGCTTGGCCATTTCTATTTGCATGGAATGCAACACTTGCTACCGAGCGCATCATCGCCGTTGGACAGACAACATTCGGTTTGAATTGGTATGATTATCCGCCAGAGCTACAAAGATGTCTGGTTCTTATCATTTCGCGTTCACAGAAACCTGTCTATTTCACCGGACTTGGTATCGTTCATTGTACTTTGGAGACACTTGGCAAAGTAAGTGATTCGGATTGAGATGTGTATAGAGTACCGAAATATCAGAATTTTTTTCGGGTCGGGAGGACGTCTTTAGGACGTTCAGGTCGGTGGCCTGGTACGACCTTTGGTACTTACATGTGTTACGATCAAAATGCGTAGTGATACTTTTGACACATTCGTATATTGACCACAATTGGTGCTTTTGCACAAAAAATCTTCGATTGGAAGCATTTTCAAAGATTTTCTTTGCATTTCAGGTATTTAACACATCTTGCTCTTACTACATCATTTTCCGTCGAATTTAGAATTATTATAAAGAATTCGCTTTCATCTATTACGTGTTTAATGTTGTAAATTCAAGTGAATGTGAGATGACACTTACCGATCACATTTCGATAAAACTTATAAAATTAAATTTATGCACATTTATGTAACATTTAATAGCAATTAATGATTTTAATATATTAATAAATAGATTTTTCAGCCACATATTTTACATGATTTATTGAATGAGTTGAGTGATCAGCCGTCGTTCAATAAAACCGTTTTGTCCATTTCCATCCTCAAAAGGTCTAACGACATAAAAAAAAGTGTGATGTGAATATGAAATGAAAAAAATTCGTTAAAAAAATCACCTTTTTATAGGGTCGAACAAAAGACCGGCACAATGTGCACACAGTTAATATATCGTGGTGGTATGTTGGAATGTATTCCGATGACGACCACGAATTGCCACATCGATGGCACCGATATTCAAAAATGACCAACAAACTTTGAGTCATATTTACCAGGAAGTCTTTTAACTTGACTGACTGAAGCTAAATTATGAAATGTGACATTTTTCTTCTTCTGACTTTCCGAATGCTACACATATTTATTAAATTGCCATTGTTTTTCAAATATTCTTATTATTGAAACAAAGTATCTGCTATGAATTCATTATGAATGTATGAAAAAATCAGGATAACCTGATTTTTCAAAGAATTGACCTCAATTTTATGAATTCCAGGGCGCTGGCATAGTTTTCATTATTATTGCTAAGTTGTAATCGGAGTAATGCGTAAAAGAAGAAGAATTTTTGTTGTTGTTGAATAATTGAATCGTTGTTAGTAAACATACTACAATCAAATGTATTTTGACATCATTACAGACGCAATCCGTGTTTATTCAGAAACAACAGATTGAGACTTTTGCAGTCGCTGCAGTTCAGATTTATGACTAAAGCAAATCGATTTTTATTTATTATCTCTACGCCTCAATAAAATGGTTCAAGGTTTTGTAGGTCACATTTTATTTTACGCATTTTTTACTCGCAATTCTTCAAAAAACTATATGAAATATGAATTCTGTTTAAATAAAAGAGAGAAAGAGGTCACCATTGATTTTGAAATTGGTAAATCAAGAGAGATGATATTGGTTTTGTTATTCGTGTGATTCAACTTCATAAAAATATATTCGAAGTTTCATGCAGATTGCGTAGTAAATTCAAAACATCCGTAAAGACGTCAAATTGTGTTAGATAGAATTGAAAAGAACTTGATTTCAAATCATTTTCATTATTGTTTCATTGAAATATATTGAAATTTGTCGAAAAAATTTGTAATAATTGAAGAATCGATTCATTTTTTTTTTAATAATGAAATATTCACCTTCGTATTGGAAGAACTTTGGTATCACACGACCGACAAATGGCAGCCAACCCAAAATTTTTCATTTTGGTTGTCCAGGAAAAATGACATTTTGGACAGCAATACAGTAATGCCGCCTTGTAATAATCAATTTGTTCCATTTTCACGGAGAAATTTGTATTTTCAAGTAAAAATTGCTCGGAAGAAAGAAGACCTTTTTGCACTTACTTCGTGAAAGCCATAAATGAATTTTAAATGCGTACATTTTATAGCTCAGAAAGAAGACAGTTTCTGAATATTCATGACTTAAATAAACTTGTGTCGGTTTATGTAATGGATGCAAACACAACAAATTTCTTTTTGAGCTAAATATTTGTGCGATGATTCAGTTTTGCGATTCTAAATTCAGAGTAATCAGTATTTACATATGGATTTTCAATTTGCATCGTAGATCTACATGGAAATTAAATTTCTTGTTGTGCAATTGCAAGCGAGTCAATATGCACACCCAGCATATTGTTTCATTTAAAACCACGCTCGCTTTATGATAACAACAGATTATTAAAGTGGTGCAATTACTGTAGACATAATTGGCTTACAAAACACAAAATAACATGGGATTCACACTGATTTCTACGCAATAACAACTCTGGCTAATGTATGCAATTCACATTAAATCGATAAGCAGATAATTCAAAATATTGTGTTTATACACCAAACAGTTTTGAGTGCCATTTTTCGCTGTATCAAATAATTGCTGACTACTTGATCGAATTGCGTCTTTTCCTGCGCCCAAACTGAAATTTCTATGGAATAAGAATGTTTATAAATATGAAAATAAACAGTTCGGTTACTTAACTATTTCCAAATTTTGGCGTTCAAAATATTCCAATATTAAATCGTATATTTATCTACTTGGAATAATTTTAATAATATCAAAATTGAAACAAGAGTCAGAAAGTAACTTGAAAGATAATAATGTCTGATATGCTTTATCTTCATTCTTCTTAGAAAAAATATTGAAATTCAACGGAAATCCCCATTTATAAACGAACAAATTGTAGTAAAAAAAGATCTTTATTTCATGTTCACTTTTCTTTAAATACTAACATTTAATATAGAACTTAAAATATTTGAATGTGTTTTTCTGATATTTTAACACCATTTTAGTCAATATTGGATTTATTATTATTTAATTGATATATTTGACCTGAGCAAAAAATCTTTGATAATAAATAACATTGAAAAGAATCAGAGCAGGCACCACGGAGATTTGGGTAGTTTTCTTGTAAGTGTTGACTATAAAAAAAGTGCTGGCCGCACTTCCCCGGTGCCAGTAACAGCTCTTATAAGATTTAAAAGTGTTCATAACGTGGTTGCGAAAGATTTTCACTGTTCCTATGAAGTACTTTCATCAGCGTCTTTGACATGTAGAATGGCCTTAGCTCACTTCCATCATTGCGTTCAATGTCTTCCACTGCAACGAAAAAGAAAAAAAAGATCAGTGGTCGCAAATGTCTTTGGTTAATTGTTAAATATTCACTTACAGAAACATATGAACAAGGTGTCAATGGCCGTGGAATAAATACCGAATAATGTGTTTGCAACGATGAACGAACCAACTACAGTAAAATTATATGGCATCCTATAACTCACATGTTGCTTTGAATAGTATAAGGATAACATGAATAATCCGCCCATTCCAAAAGCAATCGCGATGTTAAAAACGCCAAATTGAAGAAATGTAATATTATTTATACTGTTTGGTTTGAGGTTGGTAATATTTCGTTGCAACAGATTGAATGAAGCAATCGTACTTTCCCAGAATCGATATCCGTGATTTGCGACCATGATGTATGTGTTTTTATTCAAATAAAACATACCATTCCCGCAATCATTGCGAATCTTTGGACAACGTATGCAATAATTGCCAATTTTCATGATTTTCCTAAATATGTAACAAATTATGCGGATGATTGGTATGAAAAAGGATGCAAGTGCAATGGTGCCAAGATGATATCGGGTGATGGAAACTACAGCGCTGGTGGTGTGTGTGTAATATGGAACATTTTTTTTATCCAATGTCCAATACCAGGACGAGAAAATGTGTGCCAGTACCATTTTCTTATAGGTACCAATGAACCAATAAACCCAAAGGAATCCAAACATGTTCAGAAACTGCAAATTCGAACGAAAATCAAATTAAACGATGTTACAACGAACGAAAATCAATGGGAACGTACAAACAAAGCGCCTCGTATTATCTGCTGATCACGTGTGCCAATATATTGAATATTCGCACAAACTTTTATGAACAATGTAAAGTTGACAATTTGGAAAATCAATGGAATTATCGGCAAAAATAAAGTTGTATAGGACGAAGCAACAGCTCTAAAAATTAATCGGCATTTAAATAATAAACGATGATATGCAATTTGAATTAATACTCACTTGCTACCTTCTTTGATCAGTGCTATTGAAACGGCAATTTTTACACGTTGAACATAAACGGTCACAATAATACCAATTGCAATTGTTCCAAAGATGGAGGCAGGAATCAAATGACCAGGAATAAAAATACTTACTGACACTGAAATTAATTTACAAAGATTCAGTTCGATGAACTTTAGTCAGTTTGATATCAAAATATAGAATGAAGGACCAAAAATACCAATTATGAAATAAGCGACCAGTAAGGCAATTAAAGTCCAAAATACAGCAGCTGCGATCCATCGCATCAAGTAAATCAAAATTAAACAGATAACCGTTGCATTGCATATAGAACTCAATGAGAATGATAATGTTTCTTTTAAAGCATCTGAAGTTTCCTGATGCATAAGTATTCCCACCTAAAAGGTTACGTCATGTAATTAAGTGATTTTTAGTCGAAACATCCGAACTAGAGGTGTTATTGGCACCGGGCACTTTTTCCATATAATTTTTTCAAGTTCCGCACCTGAAAGTGCCCACATCCCCGTGGTGCCTATAACACCTCTGTTGCGAACGAAATTTTAAAAATTCGTTGAGTTTGTGATCTTGAAATACTTACTTTTCCATCGTTTTGTCTATTATTCTGAACGACTTGATGACCGTGCAACACAACTAGTGAGCAAACAAAAAGAATTTTTTTTATTTGAAAAAATAATGACGAAATTCTGTGCTACAAAATGCCATTGAACTGCACAATGAATTTATAGTAAAATGTCTGTTAACACAGTAAACTCACTACAAACACCAACTGTAATCCAAATTGCTGTAAACACCACAAAACCCACAAACCAATTTACATCCGTTGGTGATCGACGCGACGTTGGACCCTTAAAATTGGGATCGTATTGATACTTTTCGCCTGCCGTTTTTTACGAATGAAAACAAAATTCTGATCAAATAACACACATTTCAATTGATTGAAAAACTGCACTTTAACTTACCGTAATCGGTGTTTGTTGAAAACTCATCATCCCCGTTTTCATCGCAATAGTCCATAGATTCCATGATGGTTTATAGTTTTCAATTCACAAATATTGGTGGATGAAATCCACGAATGACAAATTTTATTTTAGCCCCAGTCTTCGTGAAGGATCGTGTAAAACTAAATGATTAAAAGACCAAACGCATTCAAAGAATCAAGCGAACACGATGTGCTGTGCGTGTATTGTAAACAAAATTATCGAATGCTGTACGCTGCGTGTACAAAATGCATATATACAGATACAACTATCGCACATATGCTGTGTTTGTGTATTTGTATCTATACGTTCATTCTGCCAATCCATCATGCAATCTCGACATATTTTGAACTATCTGTACACATATACTCTCACTCTCTCTCTATCTCTCTATCTCTCTCTCTCTCTCTCTCTCTCTCTCTCTCTCCCTCTCTGAAAAACACTAAACCGTTCTCCGATTAAAATACGCTTCGCTATAGTGTTTTTCAGATAGTGAGAGAGAAAGAGAGAGAGTGTGTGTACGTGTAAGACGCACACTCTCCCTTTAATTTGATGCACTTTGTCTGTTGTTAAATGGCACACATATAGAGAGTGCAGCTGCAGCTGTTGATATCTCTAACAGTGCGTTTGTATTGGTTTTTTATATGGAACTGACATCTCATTTCTTTCACTATTCATAACAAGATGAGCATCGAATGATTTTTTTCATGTTTCTCATGAATTTTGATCAAAACTGAGAATAATTGAAATTAAAATACACAATACACCAATAAAACATACTAATCTACGGATATAAATGCATCAGAGTGAAAATAAATTGAATACACAATTCTGTTGTTGACTGACTGTGTTTTGAAGTAATATTACGGCACACATGATAAACAATTCTGATTGGAAATATGTGTGCCTTGAATATGTGCCGGTTTGTAAACAACAAAAATTTCTTTTTGAGCAAAATATTTGGCCGAATTTTCAATGTTGCAATCTCAAACCCCAGTATAATGACTGAAATACTGTTTCTTTGCTTCGAAGACCTACACGGAGATGGATTCCTTTTTTTGTTTTCCAATTGCAAGCGAATTTAAAGGCTATTCGTTTATACAATTTTATACACAATATTCACGACTTATTCTTCTTAACCTGAAAACTCAGCACTTCGATGTAAAATGAAAGCAAACTACTAGATTTTTTCTGGATATTCTTAAAATATGAGTGTCTTTTATCTAAAATATGAACAGCACAGTTTTGTTTTACTGTAATCTTCTTGTCAATACAGTGTATCAACGCAGATGCCTGTATCTTAGTTGTCCTGCGTACCAACACAAATGCATCTTGTACTGGACGCTGTTTTGTACTGAAATATGCCCCTCACTGTTTACAAACATCAAAATTGTTCAAAAAATTGTATATTCTCTCCCTCCATTCTATTGCGCAGTTTCAAACCAAACGTCAAAATTTCCTTGCTTTTCTGTCAAATGAATTTTACATAAAACGAAAAGTTGTTGATTTTTTCTTCCACTGTTAAACTCAGATTGTTAATATTAACATGTTGAATTTTTTAAAATTTAAAAATTGTTTTCTTCCAAAAAATCGCATTATTCATTGAAAATCGTTCAAATTGTTTTGTGGAAAGGGTGATTATTTGTTTCACGAATGAGTTGCAGTGGTGATTCCAACTGTGATGTCAACGAATCTAGTGCAGGCCAATCTCATTCCGAACATGTAAGGAACTTAAGGTTTTGGAATAAACGACTGGAATTAAAGAAATCGCTAAGAATAACGATAAGAACATTTTGGCACATTTTCAATTGACTTTTCGACAGCAGAATTTGTCTTGATAAGCTTGTAGTTTGAATTGTCTTTTCATTTTTTCGATTTTTATTATTTTCAGGAAACTACTTTGAAGAGAGATCAATCGGAGGAAAAGCCAGAAACAGATAGACATTTGCAGTCAATTGTCTCTCAACCACAACCAAGTGCAAACCTTAGTAAGTAATCGCTGCAAATTTCTGATTTTGAGGTTTTGGAGAGCTTGTAGGAGAGTCGTCAAGTGACCCCCCAGTTGATCTGAATGGCATGAAAAATATCCTTCTGCAAGGATCGACAAAAGTCGAGAGAATTTTTTTCAAATTGCCAGTGTTTGTTCGACTGGGCGATGTTTGGTTCGGACCCCCTTGTCTTGAAATTTGTGTTGAAAATCGAGATGAGTAAAACGAGATGCTTGACATGATGTGATTGATACACTGTTATTCCATGTGCAAAATATAATCACGTGGTTCATGATTTCGGAGGTGTTCCCCTTTTTGCATTTTATGCATTCTCATACTTTGTATCACATGCAACTTTTCCCCTTCTATCAGTGCATCACACTATTTAAATACAATGATGTTTCAGATGACTGCAATCCAAATGAAAGCTTTAATTGTCCGCCCGGCCTGGAGTATTTAGCGCCTATTGAACAGTTGTTTTTAAAATTGAAGCTCGGACGTTGTATGGGATTTGAGAAAAATATCAAATTTGATATAAAAGATTCCACCGGACAAATTGTAAGTCATTTCCATTAATCGATGTCGATACAGACATTTAAATAAATCGTTGAAACTTTTATTTACTTTTGAATGAAATTAAATATCAGATTTATCAAGCGAATGAGTGCAGTGAATGTTTCACACGTTGCTGTTACGGTTCGAATCGTCCGTTTAATATGAAAGTGTATGACCTTTACCAAAGGGAAGTGCTGCATTTAAAGCGACCATGTACATTTTCGGGATTTTGTGGTCCACATTTTCCCGAATCGTTGAAGATATCGGCAGCTGGCCAAATGTTTGGAAGAGTCGAAGAGGATTTGAACTATCCACAATTTGTTGTTAAAAATCTCTTTGACGAAACCGTTCTGCGTATCGAAGGTCCATTTTGTTCTTCCGGTGGAAATGTTGAATTTCAGGTGAATTCAGATGTATCTTTGGCACAGCGTTTATTTTAAAGAAGGAGAATTTGAAACAAAACTAATGCAAAATTTTATTTGATGTGATAAAAACACAGATTTATTCCGCAAACGGCAAGCAAGTGAGTCAAATATCCAAACACGGTGTTGAATTAACGCATGACCTAACCACGGACACAGATAATTTTGCCATTGATTTCATCAGGGATTTAGACGTTTTCCAAAAAGCAGCCATCGTTGGAGTTACAATTTTTATTGTAATGGCTGAGATTTTTCTGTCCAAATACCAAATTGACGCATTTTTTTTCTATTTCAGGATTCGATGTTTTTTGAACGGAAGAGCAATAATTCGGAATGATTTTAACAACGTCCATTATTTTATGTATTTCAATTAAATAAATTACGGCGAATAAATGTGTTTATTTTTATTCAATGACATATCTATGATTTATTTTGATTTTAGAGAGATTTTTTGCACATTTTTTGACCTTCAGCCTTCAGCATTTACACAGCCTAACAAATAATCACTTTCTTAAAAACAATATATTTGAACTTTGGGACTATTCATTCTAGAATTCATAATTGATTTGGGAGATCGTGAATTCTCACCAAAAAAATTCAGCGATTTCGAATCAAAACATGTTGCATTTTCAATCCGATTAAATTTTCTGAATGACGTAATTGATGCGCTTGCATCCTATCCCGTATATACAATGGTCAACACAAGATCACTCGATCTTGCATTTTGGTATATTTTTTATGAAAAATTTGATTCATTTAAATGATTAACAATTAAATCATACAATCTAAACAAATCAATATGGAAACAGTTTTATCCCAACCATTAGAAGGCGAACCTCACTATATCAACCGCGTTATTTTGTTTGATAAATTCACTTTACGAATATTTTCCAACACATTTAAAAATCACATGGAAAATTGATTTAAAAAAATGCCAAAAAATTGTGACAAATCTGCGTTTTTCTCCTTCGGTCTTGCGCATTTGAACTGTCTTTTACAAATACACCTGTTGAGTGTAGAAAGAAGCTTTGAATCATAAGAACCGCTACACTTTCAAGGCTTCATGACAACTTACTCTTTCAATTTTTTGAAATTTCATGCGTAGATAATTTGTACAGAAATTTTTAACTTTTTTTATCAAATTGAGCCAGACAAAATATAAACCACGTTTCGTATGCTGGTGACAGTTTTAACAGTCAATTTTTTTGCCAAAAACACCAAAGCGTTGAATTGATTTTATTGCTTTTGTCATGAATATTATGACTTTTCGGCGAAACTATTACATTTTTTAGATGTTGACACAAAAATTGACTCTTATGACAAAATGTAACACAAATTCGATTTGTATAATTTTCACTATTTTCAATGTTCAAATGCAGCGATTAAAATAGGATGGATTTTACACTTGAAAGAGTTCGTTTCTTATCTGGGATTCCCATTGATTTGATTTAATTTTTTTTTCAAATCAAAATAAAAAAGTCAAATCATTTGATTTGTTGTACACAATTCAAATCAATTAAATCATTTGATTTGATTCAAAATTTACACGACCATCCAAATCAAATCAAATGTTGACACTTCAAATCATGATTTTTCTTACGATTTGTTGATTCAACAAATCATCCTATCTCAAATCTGATAACCCTGTCAAAACTTTTTCGGTTGACGTTACAATTTCAACTGAAATTTCTCTCTCTTCGCTTTACTTATCCCATATTTTTATGTCATGAGTGTTCTATCAAATACAGCATTGATGCAAGGTCTAACGCCAATTTATAAATTAAGAGACGACCGATTACAATGGAATATGATTTGTCTGAAATATACATCGACCGGATATTTTTCATTGGGCACCATTATGTTATTTTACTTCTTTTATATGCAGAGAAAAAACTATGTATTTTATTTATAATTTAAGTAAATTGTAGTGCAGAGAGGAATGTTGAGGATTTTTGACGCAATGTTTCCAAATAACAAAATGAAATGGTCTATATGTAATATTTGGTATTATGGAAATAGGAAAGCAAATACTGCCAATTGAAGACTACTGAAGCAATCAAACAACGTTTGTCATTTTAATGACATACTAAAAAAGTCATTGAAAAGTAGTAGTTTCTGAAAAAATGGACCTGTTATGAAAAATATGACAATATCAGAACTTTTAACAGTTTACATTTCAAGCGGCAGGAGAAAAAATTAGCTTCGACTTCCAAACGGTATGTGGCCGAAAATTCTATAGAAAAATAGATAAATACACGCACCCTTTTCTATTTATATAAACACGAAGCGGCATTTTAATTAAGCGCCATATACATCACGACAAGCAAGTAGAATACATATGTATTTTTAATTCGGCACACACAAGGCATAACTAATTATTGCAAAGTGATTTGAATAAGGTTAAAGCGAACATACTTGATTTCGGTTTTCTGAGTAGTTGCCAGCCAAATCTTAATATTCAACACTTATGGATCTATAAAATGGGTGTCGATCGACACTTTGAAAATGAGATTAATCTTTTTAGAAAATTTTCGATTTTTGGGTCAAAAATAAACATTTTGTATCTCCCATAAAAATTCCAAATTTGGTATTCCAAATTTGTACTGAAATTTCTTCAAACTTTCCTTGGTTGTCAAAGTTCGTCTTATACTGCTATAAGAATCGTTTTAAATTCAACGATTTCTATGCCTTATCAGTGACGTTTCCAAATATTCGAATCGATCGGCATCGAAATGCACCGCTATGTAGTGTAAAAAAAATATTTTGCTAAGTAATACTTTCCCCTTACACACTAGGTGTGTGCGGAAAAGTAATATTTTATTCGTAAACAGAAGTTTAATACCGTATAATTACAGTAGCTATACTTACGAATTTCTGGTAAAGTTTTTTTTTTGTGTTTTCATTTTCCTATTTGACATCAACCAGAATTTGAAAACTCATCCAGCGGCTGTTTATTAATCAATCTGTATATGCTTTTGTTAATTAAAATTACCACTCAAACTAATTTCGATTAAATTGATTCGCGATTATGTGTTTGGAGACTCACAATTCACAACAGCTATTATAGCAGAAAATCAATTGACAACAAATTCGTTGGGATCCATCGGCACATCAACTTAATTACAATATGACTAAATGTATCGATTCTTAAATTTAATTGGGAAGAAAGAAGATATGATTGGTCTATCATTGTGAATAAAGAATGAATAAATTTGGGTGCCGGAAAGTGTTCAAAATTCAATTCAAATGAATTGATATCAATTTTTTTCTCACTTAAGTCAGATGACATCATCTGTTGCCTAAAATTTTGACCTATATCAAATGGAATGTCTTTTCTATCTGTTTTTATGATTAAATATAAAAATTGCGATTGCAAAACCAAATAGGCTTACATTTCAATTTCATCATTCATTGAAATAAGATTAAGCTCTTTCATTCGTTTTGCACATTGACAAGCTCATTGAGGCTCTCGGTCAAAATGATAAAATCTAGTGAACCAATCGCAAAAAAAAAAATCATTACCACAGCGACATCGGACTAAATTGTATTAATGCTTGCGAAATCAATTTCGCATTGAACAGTCAGCCGCTCCCTAGTAAAATTCGGACACGCAGACTAATATTAAGAGCTGAATGCGGAAAATGATCTCAAAGGCGTCGGAGCCTTCGCGTGGTAGTCGATTATGTTTCATGTTGCAAGGAGAAAGCGAAATCAGTGCTATGTGAGATAGTGAATGAACGACATTATTGTTCTGAAAGTGAAATCACTCGGATTACAAGAGTTCAATTTTATTCCGTATACTTCAATTTTTGAAGGTTTTTATTAATTTTTTTGTTTCATTTTTACATTTATTTAAATTAAACTAAAAGAATACAAGCAACAAATACAAGTCATATTTAGTGATATAGACCACACATTCGGTGCTATTTTTGTGAACAATGAGCAAAAACTTAAATCGTATTGAATAATTTAATTACACATACAGTTGAGATTAAAAAAATAAGCAGAAAATATTTCTTTGGAGGTTCACACGCAATACTTTCAATCTAAAAATGTTCTGATACACGTTTTTAGTGACGAAATCCTAACTGCTCACATTGTTCAATTCTTTTAAAATCACACGGATTCGCACAGAAGGCCTCGAACAGTCGTGTGTGCGAATGTTGTGAATATGTATGCGTACCATACGGTTTTGGCGCCACTAAAACGAATTCTGTTCAGCGACGCACGCTTATGTTTAAGAATGATAAACAGAGTTCGTTTCAGTGGTGTACAAATCATGGTACGCATATATATGCACAATATTCACACAGACGGCTATTTGAGCCGTGTGACTGTATGTGGTTTTTATGTATTTTTCGCATGTAAACTGTGTGAGCAATTATGTTGAGGTTTTGGATAATAAGTCGCAATGCATTGCACATTTTTTCTATGACTAATGTGTCGGGACCAAATTTTATCGCAAAATAAATTGTCATATTCAGTTTTTTCGTGTCACCAATATCAATTTTCAATTAGCAATCGAATGAAAAACAAATTTATTCCAAAAATTCATTCCAATTTTTTTCCTTTGAACTACGGATTTTGAATAGTGAGGCTCGTACCTTTCCAAAAACGTATAAGTCATTGCAGTACCTTCAAAAAGGACAAAAAAATTTCAGTTTAATGAACAACTCGAAAATCGCCTCATAAAAATATACGACCCCAGCTAATCGAATTTGAAAAAAAAAAAAAAAAAAATCGGAAGTTATTTTGTATGAAACGCATGCAAAGGGATAGAAATTATTTTCGCCGAATTTTTTTTGAAAAAAATCATATGTTCGTGTTCATGACTGTTGCTAACTATAAACAAGGATAATAAATTGATACACTTGTCCATCCTATATATTATGTTCTTGTATATATTGACTCATTTGACTGAACTATGCGTGTTGTTTCCACATTTGCTGCATAGCTATGAACTTTGCTTGTATTCAAGGCTTTTTTACTACATTTTCGTTCATAAAATCTATTCTTCTTTAGTTTCCATCAAGCTTCGTACCGTCCACACGAATTTTCAGCAATTTTCCTGATTTTTATTCTAAAACCAACTTGAATCGTTTATCAATCGAATATTATCGTGCAAAATGAGTATTGATCAGAAATTTTCCTCCTTTCCTGAACCGGTAAGCAATATTTTGACATTTTCACGGAATGTTTTGGAAAATAATTTCTGTTGACAAGCAAAAGGCACCGAATAAGTAAATATTTTTCAAATATTGTGCAGATTGTTCCCCAGGATGCTATTCAATACAAACAACCGCCGTCTTATTCGAGAGATTACGAGTCTGTGAATCCAATCGTATCTCAACCACTATCAGGTGGTCAAGCTCCAGGTATTTTACTTTAAATTTTCTTTCGCTGAATTTCTTTTTTCATTCATGAAAAATGATAAGAAAATTCGACATGATAAATCATTTCCCCATCTTACTCCGTGCGTTTGTGAGGTCATGCGCATTTCAATTGTCGTTTTCAATTGTCACAACTGTTGAGTGCACAAAAATTCCTTTTGAATTCTCCGTTTTTTACATTCTCTCCATAGTTTCTTGGATAAAAACCTCAAATGTAATGCCAATCTGTCCACCTGGGTTGGAATACCTGACTGCCGTCGATCAATTACTGATTAAGCAAAAAGTTGAACTTTTGGAAGCATTTACCGGCTTCGAAACAAACAACAAATTTGTTATCAAAAATGCAATGGGACAGAATGTAAGTGAACTTGCAATGGGACAGAGCGGAATTTAAGTTCCTCTGACGAAAATCATTGTTTTATTCCAGGTATTCTATGCTGTTGAAGACAATGATTGCTGCAATCGTAACTGTTGTGGCCCAAATCGTTCATTTGATTTTAAAATTTTCGATGCATCCCAAAGAGAAGTGTTGCATTTCTCTCGGCAAAATTGTAATGCTGCGGTTGCTTGTTGCTGTACTCCTTGCTGTCCCGATTCAATTGAAGTATCATCACCACCCGGAAATTTAATTGGACGTGTTGACCAAGAATTTTCATTTTGCTATCCACGATTTTCGATTAAAAATCAAAATGGCGAAGTGGCGCTTCGTATTGAAGGGCCATTAGTCACAATGTCTTGCTGTTGTAATGATGTCGTATTTCATGTGAGTGTCGATTTTTGTTTGTTTGAATAATCATGCGTAATTTGGATATGGAATTTCTTTGGAGTTTAGGTTGTTACACCAGACGGTACTCAAGTTGGTAAAATAACCAAACAATGGTCAGGATTTGTACGCGAATCATTCACCGACGCCGACAACTTCTGCGTCAGCTTCCCATTGGATTTGGATGTTCGCATGAAAGCAGTGTTATTGGGGGCTACAGTTTTAATGGTAAATAGAATATTTAAGCATTTTGATGGTAAATTGTCTATTTTTTTTCTTTTTTGGTGCTACAATTGGAATTTTTGAATCTCCTTTCAGGATATGAAGTACTTTGAACACAATGAAGGCCTCTTGGAAAAATTGTAAACCAGCAAACCAAGACCTGTAGTATTATATTATCAACTTTTACGATCACATTCATCATCAACATACGCATTTGAAATTTAACGCTAAATATCAAAAATACACATCTACACAATTAATTCATTGATACGAGATATTCGACTTTACATCCGATATGGAAACGATCACAACGTCCAACGTAGACACAGTCACAGAATATTTTTTCACAGAGCATATTTCTTCTTATTTAACTAAGAACGTTTTCTTCAGGCTAACGAATTGGATTTGAAGTCTCCAATTTTATTATAACACCATATGTATTTATACTCGTATTGAATTAATAAGAAAATGTCGAATGACAATAAAAAATACTGAATGAATGTTTTTCTTAAAGTCTCTCATAGATATGTCAATTGAATTTTCCAAATGTATTCAAATAATGGAACAATTTTGAATAAATGTTTTTGGTGTAAATCGATTTGTTTTTTAGTTTCAATTCAATTTTATTGCATGTCAGAGCAACGTGTTAGCATTCGACACACAGATCTATCATACATAAGGACAGACTGGATATATAGATGGAGACAAGCAATTACCCTTCTTAAATCATGAAGCTACCATTCCCTTCCGCGATGTTTAAGAAAATTAAAGATCTTCTTTTACTATTAAACTTTTTCCATAGGAGAACCCCTCTTTTTACTGTTAGCTTCGTGGCGGTAGCCACCTATGACTTGATATGGGCTGAAGAAACGAAATCATTTGAAGAGTAAAATCGAATAAGTTCGCCTTAAAATCGACCGAAAGAGTCACTTTTTGGTCGAAACAGATTCGGATTAGATTCTACTCGTCATAGAATTAGATTTTGGAATTGAATATTTTTCTCTTATTTTTTCAGATTTGACACCTGATGAGGTGTACTCATATAAAGGGATATCCTCAACATGCGAAATAACTTGTATAAAATAAATGTAAGTAATCCAATAATTGTCAACTGGTGTCATTTAATTTAAAAGTTCAAAAACACTATATCTTAATCATCAAATACCGCGTGACTTAGATAAAATTTCTTTTAACAACAAGAGGAACTATACAAAAACTTTATCTAAATCACGCACAACTGAATGTTCAAAGTTTTGGAGGTGCACAAGTTGTTTGTCTCTTCATATAATCATCTCTAAAATATTTGAATTTATGGCCATTTCAACTAAAATTTCAGTTTTATTTAATCTATCTAAGAGCAAATATACGTGACTATCATCATTTCTAATTGCTTTAAAAACAAGTTTCTATTTATACGCTAATATATAGCAATTAAAACAGATTAATGTAGGCCCAAAACTCTCATTTTATTGAATCACCTTAAAATAATCCAAATAGTATAGTGCTAAAATTTATTATTTTTGTCAACACATAATCTGCGTCATCAACATTTATTCTATTATCAACAAATATTCGGAGTACGTTTACAAAAAAAGCCATTCTCTATAAAATGCCATACATCAAGTTCCAGAATCATCAAAGTGAAAATAATTTTCGAAGCGAACAGTTCGTCAAAAAAGTGCAAAAATGAAATTCTTCGTGGTATTCATGGCATTGTGCGCAATTATTGCTTGTGTCAATTCAACCCCGATGTTTGGTAACTCAATTTTAAAATATATACTGAAATATATTCAGTTTTGAAAGAAGAATACAGAATTTTTTATTCATTGAACAATTGATTTTTTCCAACATATTTTTGATCTCATGAATTTTGAAAAAAAAAAAAATTAACTCTTTCTAAAGTGTTAATTTCATTTTGTTCAATGATTGGGAGCAAATGAAAAGCATCAATGACTTTTGATCGTTTTGCTTGTTTTATTATATACTAAATTTTTTGTATTCAAATACCCCGTTTAGGCCACTGGTGGAAACCACATAAAGGCGGTCCAGGAGGTATTTTCGGTCGTCCACATCCAGGTCGTCCAGGTCATCCAGTACGTCCACATCACACTCCAAAGCCCGACTCGACCACTCCATCCGGTGATGTCACTACACTTACTCCAGAAACATCCACCTCAAAATAAGGTATGACAATTTCCATTTTTGTCTTTTTTAATTTTTTTATAACTATTCTGACAATATCAATTACATTTAGTGTTGGCTGGATTTTTTAAGCATCAACGGAAATTTAGATGACATTTTCGGGACCTTTTAAGTTTTAACCATCAAATTTTAAATAATGTTTGAGAAAAATAAAATCTTTCGATTCATTCAGAATTAATTCAATCATAAATTGAAATGAAAATTGTTAATGTTAAATTAAGAATAAAATCAAAATGAATGAACCAAAACAAGAATAACTCATTTCTTTCATTTCATTTTCGTCTAATATTGAAACTAATTAGAAAAGAAGGAAATTTTAGTTTCAGCACTTGAAACTGCTGAACTACCTTCACTTCCTTAGCATCTTTCATTGGAAATGAAATGTTATATGCATCGAATAAAAAATAGATCATCAAATTTACACGCAATTTACTTTATTTTCATAAATTTCGATCTAACAATATAAGTATTATTTCACTTTCTTTTCCAACAATCATAAAAACGAGGTATTCATTGGTATATTAATTTCCATCGATCATTTAATCTTCATAATCACTGTCGTCTCCATATCTGTCTTCAAGTCCAGACAGATCGTACAAGAAATTATTTTCAGCTAAAACTTTAAATACCAAATATTCAAATTCGGTTTTCTCATCCAAAACAATTTCAAAAAATGCCAAATACGGTTCCAACTTGGTGGAAAGATCGTTGTCCACATCTCCGTCATCATCTTTCAGCGATTCGATGGTTGTTTCCATGTCTCCGGTCGATTTTAAATCAACAATTTTCTCATTACTTTCATCATATAAAGCACCAAACATCCCATCATTGCAGTCGGCGTCCCCATTGTTCACACGTAGTTTAAAAGTCGATCCGTTGTATGTGAAACAAATGACTTTTGAATGTGGTAACATTTCACC